TAACTATGTGAAAATAGACACAACACTGTGTTGTGGTAATAGACATGACACAATATTACCATTTTAATATTTGACTAATGTTAGATACTCTTTGCCTGCCTTTAACAGTAAAACTAATTGTATTTAGCCTGCATTTCTATACATGCTTACCAGGTTAGTTTCCTTGGGATAACAATTTACTATATTAAGGGACTTGCAGAGCAAATGCATACATTCCTACTCAGAAGTACACCTCATGGACTTTCAATAGCAGGTGCATGTAAGAATTTGGCTTTAATATTTGAACAGTATTTGCTTTATTTAGAATTTAGACAAGTAGTGAATAGGAAAGGCAAATGGACAGCAAAGCAGTTGCACGTACAACCAAGAACACTATATACCACTGAACCCACTCCAAGCTGCTTCTGTTCCAACCAATTCAGTCCTAAGCTCATTGTATGCCTCTAAAATCTGATCTTGAATTCGCCACACACCAATAAATGTTGAAAGTGTAATCTCTGAGAGATGGAGAGAGATTCCAGTTCACCAAAAGTCTTGGCTTCATTTTACAAACCCTTTATTTGCACTGAGCAAAACTTTGGGCAAATTCCTAGTCATGTATCCATTCATAGTGATCAAGACGGCTAACCTCACAACACTGTGGCCGTTTCTCCTGATTTGGGAAAGGGGAGGGAAGTAGTTAACTCACTTAATTTATTGGTAAATTATCTCATGATGAAGCTCAGAATAATTGCAATGAAAGTCTGACATTCACATTATCACTATCATAATTACTTGCCTTATGATTGTTCTTTCAGTGAATGCCCAGTAATTTAATAATAATAGAACATATAAATAATTTAACTAAAATTTGGTAGATCAGTCTCATTTATAAATGAGAACATGACAGCTTCCTTTTCTAGTCACCTTGGACTACTCTACTATAGCTCGAGTGAAATAAAATGCTTCTTTCAGCCAAATGTATTTGAATAATTGCACTGGATTTTAAAGCAGTAATCAGTAAAAGAAAAGGAAAAAAACACATCCCCTTAGAAACACTCTTCAATGAATTTCATTGCACTTGTACAAATGGGCATTCATTCTGTAACATATTTGCAAGAGGATGAAGGTTTTAAATTATAGCCATTTTAAAGAGAATCATACACTCAAGTTGGTTCACATTTAAACAGTAGAGGAGTTCCTGTTATGTTTAAAAAGTTGTCTAAGGAAATGATGTGTCAGCAGAAAAAAAACCTTAGAAAAATCATAATGTAAAAACCAGTCCAAATTGGTCATGGAAGTTAAATGTTTTCCAAATTCCTCACTTGCCTTGCAGACAATTTCATGGTCCAGAAGGTAGAAGAGGCAACAAGAGGCTACTCTTGATCTCATCCTAACAAATGCGGAGGACCTGATTGATGTGGTTGAAGTGGTAGGATCCTTAGGGGCAAGTGACCATGTGCTCCTGCAATTTGAGGTACAAAGGAAGGCCGAAACTAAGACAAGTCAAACCCGCATTTTGGACTTTAGGAGAGCTGATTTCCAAAAAATGAAGGAAACGCTGAGCAGCATTCCATGGACACAGATACTAAAAGACAAGGGAGTTACGGATGGATGGGAGTTTCTCAAGAGTGAAATACTCAAGGCGCAATTGCAAACCGTGCCAACAAAGAGAAAAAATAGGACAAGTGCAAAGAAGCCAGAATGGATGTCCAAAGAACTTCTAACTGTGCTAAGACACAAAAGAGACATGCACAAGAAGTGGGAAAAGGGAGAAATCACCAAAGAAGAATTCAAACAAATAGCCAACACCTGTAGGGAAAAGGTCCGCAAGGCTAAAGCACAAAACGAGCTCAGGCTTGCCAGGGACATTAAAAACAATAAAAAGGGCTTCTTTTCTTATGTCAGTAGAAAAAGGAAAAACAAGGAGGCGAGGAGAAGATGGGGCAATGTTGACGGGATAGGGAAAAGGCAGAACTACTTAATGCCTTCTTTGCCTCTTCTTCTCACAAAAAGAAAGTCATCTTCAACCTCAGCAAGATGGAGTGGATGAGGGATTAGAGGACATCCAACCCCAAATTGGGAAACAAGTCGTCCAGGAATACCTGGCCGCTCTAAATGAGTTCAAGTCCCCAGGGCCAGATCAACTACACCCAAGAGTATTGAAGGAACTAGCGGAAGTCATTTCAGAACCTTTGGCAATCATCTTTGAGAGTTCTTGGAGAACAGGAGAAGTTCAAGCAGACTGAAGGACAGCCAATGTGGTCCCAATCTTCAAGAAGGGAAAAAAGGATGACCCAAACAATTACCGTCCAGTCAGTCTCATGTCGATACCAGGCAAGATTCTGGAAAAGATTGTTAAGGAAGTTGTCTGCAAACACTTAGAAACAAATGCGGTCATTGCTAATAGTCAACATGGATTTATCAAAAACAAGTCATGTCAGACTAATCTGATCTCTTTTTTCATTAGAAGTACAAGCTGGGTAGATGCAGGGAATGCTGTGGATATAGCGTATCTGGATTTCAGTATAGGGCTTTGACAAGGTCCCCCATGAACTTCTGGAAAACAAACTAGTCAAATGTGGGCTAGGCAAAACTATGGTGAGGTGGATCTGTAATTGGTTAAGCGAATGAACCCAAAGGATGCTCACCAATGCTTCCTCTGCATCCTGGAAAGAAGCAACGAGTGCCACAAGCAGGCTGGGCCCGGTCCTGTTCAACATAGTTATTAATGATAAAGGGTTAGAAGGCATGATCATCAAGTTTGCAGATGACATCAAATTGGGAGGAATAGCCAATATTCCAGAAAACAGGAGCAGAATTCAAATCTTAACGGATCAGAGAGATGGGGCAAAACTAACAAAATGAAGTTCAACAGGGACAAATGCAAGATACTCTACTTACACAGAAAAAATGAACCGGGGGACACCTGGCTCGAGAGCAGTACGTATTAAAAAGATCTTGGGAGTCCTCGTGGACAACAAGTTAAACATGAGCCAACAATGTTATGCAGCGGCAAAAAAAGCCAACAGGATTTTGGCCTGCATCAATAGGAGTATAGTATTGAGATCCAGGGAAGTCATGCTACCCCTCTATTCTGCCTTGGTTAGACCACACCTGGAATAATATGTCCAATTCTGGGCACCACGATTGAAGGGAGATGTTGACAAACTGGAACGTGTCCAGAGGAGGGCAACTAAAATAATCAAGGGTCTGGAGAACAAGCCCTATGAGGAAAGGCTTAAAGAGCTGTGCATGTTTAGCCTTCAGAAGAGAAGGCTGAGAGGAGACATAGGGAGGAAGGAGCAAGCTTGTTTTCTGCTGTTCTGAACGTGGAACAATGACTTCAAACTACAGTAAAGGAGATTCCACCTGAACATTAGGAAGAACTTCCTGACTGTGAGAGCTGTTCAGCAGTGGAACTCTCTGCTCCAGAGTGTGGTGGAGGCTCCATCTTGGGAGACTTTTAAAAAGAGGCTGGATGGCCATCTGTCAGGGGTCCTTTGAATGCTGGGGAGTTGGACTTGCTGGCCCACGAGGTCTCTTCCAACTCCATGACTCCATGATTCTGTTCTTGCCAAGCTTCCATTTTGTCTATGAGATTTTTCCTGCTGTCTAGTTTCATGGTTTCAAGTGCCTAGTTCCTTGGATTTTTATGTACTTTTGGATCTGGTTTTCCTTTGAGGTTTGGAACTATTTTACTTGTATACATTTTACTTGTATTGCGTCTTTACAGTTTTTGCTATTTTTACTGCTTTGCATTCTTCAATAAACTGCTTGCTGATTTTACCAAGCTGGTGTGGTGTTTAAGGTCAGATGTTTTCCTGCTCTGGTGTACAACACCCAGTCCTACTCCCCGTCCTCCTGGAGATGATGCTATCTCACCAGTAGCAAAGCTCTGGCCATAGAGAATTGCCACCCATCACAAATAGGTATCAGCCACATCTTGCCAAGTATCTTTTTGTACTAGTTCTGCCTACTTTGCCATATTGCTGTCTAGTAGTCTGTAGATGCCTCTCCTTTGAGTTACTTAATAGACCCTGCACTGTGTTGCTTGTGAAGTTATCTGAAGGCATTGGTGATGCGAATGTTTCTTCAGAGGGAGGAACAAGATATTAAATCTGTTTTGGTACAACACTGGTTCCAAATCCAATACAAGGTGTTCTACTGAGCCCATGATAGTTTGGGTCCGATGTACTTCAAGCACAATTTCCTACATTTGAAAAGGAATCTCTTGAGAAGTTCCACCAGATTTTCAATAACCTCATTGTACCATCAGCTTGATCATACAAGCCATGCAGTAGAAACATGGCTGTACAATGGACTTCTATGCACATCATATCAAAATCCCAGTGATGTTTGCACATACTTGCATGCCTCTAGCTTTTATTCCAAACACATCAACAGATGGATAGCAAACCTCTGTGGTACAACTGCATTTGCAACAACCATTTCTCAAACTAAAATACCAAGTGAGGTGAGAAGACAAACCAAACCAAAGCTGTCCTACTTTGCTCTTGTCCAGTTTGAGAAACTTTGGGTTACTTGATTTTGTGTTGTTTTTATGCCTTGTATGTTTGGCTTCATGAAGAGAGAGAGGGAGAGAGAGCAAGAGAGGGGGGAAGGGAGGGTGTAGTGAGTACAGTATGAAAAAAATGATGCTTCTGCCTCTTCACTTTATGTTTCCTTGTCGCAACTTTGTGCCTCTAACATTGTTCCACAACTTTGTGCTTCTATCATTTTAAAGTTGATCTTTTCTTTTCATTATTCCACATAAATGTGTATTTATACATTATTATTTGTTATTTATAAAGTACATTTTCTTATTTTAAAATATGTAACAAAAATGGGGAAGGAAGTTCGGGGGCGACAGAAAGGATTAATAGCATTTCAATGGGAAAAATTGCATTGAGATAAGAGCAATTTAAGTTAAGAGTTCAGTCACGAAATAAACTCTTAACTCAAAGTATCACTATTGAATGTTTTAAACCGACTTTGCCAGATTAAAGAGAAAACAATAATTTGAGCTCCAAACACTTTACTGGAAAGTATAATACATTAAATAGTATTTTTTTTTTTTAACTGAAACGTAATCATATTGAAACATACAATGAAAAGTATCATTCCGACAACTGAAAAAAGTTTGGTAAGGCATAAGTAGATGGTACATACAGATCCCACTCATGTGGGATCTGTATGTTCCAAAGTTTCTATATCTTCCTTCTAGGATGTGTTGAATGACTGGAGATGGGGAATCGATGGATGCTTTCTATTTCTCTATCCAGCTCTCATTGTGTGTGTGTTTCAGCTTAACAACACTGGCACATGAGAACTCCTGGCCTTTCTGGAGAGCTGCCAATGTGCTCATCAAGAAAAAGGAGTTGAAGATTTGCTGGATTGCTATGTGGATTTCTTTTGGGGAAGCATCATGCCCAGAGGTCAGGGATAGGCAATGTGCTGCTGAACTGCAACTGCCATCATCACTGGTCAGCCTAGGTGGAAGCAGGGTATGATGGGAACAGCAATTCAACAGCTGAAAGATCACAAATTGCTCACTCCTGCCACAAACGATCACAAGTAACTGTCTCAATATACAATAGAGTTTAAAGCAGACTCCTATTAATTTAATTATAACTACTGACAAACTATTATTTACTATCTCAAAACAACTAAGAATGAAATTCAGTGGCCTTTAGTTCACCCTGGAGGGATCAAATGCCACACTGTTGTCCTGGCATGTAACTTTTCACAAAATATTGATAAATATAAGCGGCAGAAAAATAAGCAAAGATTAACATTTTCAAGAAATAGCTACGGTTCTCTAACTGGTCTGAGTATTAAGAGGAATTTTCCATTCAATTACTACTATTTCTTCTTCTTCTTCTTTTTCGTACCCTTCTTGCCTTCCTTCTTCTTTTCTTTGTCCTTCCCCTTGTCTTTCCCTTTTCCTTTTCCCTTTGCAGATTCTTCGCTCTCTGTCAGTGACTTGATCCGTGCTTTTCCGAGAGGAGTCTTTGCATACCAAGCCTACAGAATCAAATGGAAATACATTTTAGGGAGTCTGAAAGTATGCAAGTAACATTTCCTTTTCTGTCTGCAATAATCATTTCTCTCTCTTAAAAGTATCCTAATTGTGGATCACTCATGGAGAAGCATCACAATCTTTAGTTCTCTGAAGATCGCTATTATAACAAGAACAGTAGCAATCATCTGCTTGAAGTGGCTCATTAACATGAATACATAGCTTTGATACTCAAGTTGCTATAGTTATGATATCATTACAATCCCTGTGATCAACCCTATTTCGTAGGGTATGCAACTCTTGTTGAAATTACCTTTTAAATTTGGCAGTGTGGCAAGGTGCACAAGTGAACATGGCTCTCAGATCTCAGTAGGGAAGGGAATTTATGTTTTGTTGTTGCAAAATTTCCTCATATTGAAAGAAAAACCTAACTTGGGAATGTCAATCACACATTACCTCTAGCATGAAAACATATTAAAAAAAAGAGATGAACAAACGATTATCATAATAAAATAAGTGAAATGAAATTACAAAGGTTCTTATAAGATATCATGGCATGGCCATGAAATTTCACATTGAAATGCCAGTATTAAAGTAATAGCAGTACTTTGGTCTTGACACTGGGGCATTACAGCATCCCTACAATTCTAAGTATTTTTCCTAATACCAAAGCAGTGGCTTATTTGTCCCAAAAAACCTAGGAAGGGATAGGCATCTTTCATTCTGGAACTCTCGAATAAGCATGTACAATTCAAAGACTTGGGATGAGGGGGTCAATCTGTTTTTGCATGACTTTTTGAATGAATGAATGAATTGTTTATTGTACTAGCCATAGGCCATGACATCAGTAATACACTAACTTTATAAACACTTTCCAATATAAACCTTAAAATGTAACAAGAATTAAAACTAAAACAAGTTCTTTAAAATTATGAAAGCAGAAACATGACAATAACAGTGTCTGCTTTGTGTCATTCCAAACCGTTTCCATTTCTGACCCCCAGTATGGATTTTGCTACTTTGGCTCTGATCTTTTGGGCTGCGATTGCGGCATGACTTTTTATACTGTAGTGCCCAATTCCATCACAGAAATATTCCACAGGAAAAAATATTAATTTATAAAACAATTGATTGGATTCTGATTTCAAATGAAAAAAACCATAGAAGTTCTTGGCTGGGCTACCAATGTGGAAATAACCCCCTGGACTGTGAAAAGATTGCATGATATCAAAATACTATAACATCATTTTAAAATGTATTCAAAAGAACGTATATTATCTTCAGAGTTGGAGGATATTGGCAGAAACAATAAGTGGTTTTTAACAACCTAAAGCTAGGGTTGTACCCCAGCTTTTACAGCAATTGGTCTACAACATTACTCTAAATCCGCATAAGGTCCTCTTGGATTCATCACTTACGCTTGAGGCTCAGGCGTCGGCGGTGTCTGGGAGGGCTTTTGCACAATTGAGACTCGTGCGCCAACTGCGACCATACCTCGCGAAGGCTGATCTGGCCGGGGTGGTCCATGCCTTGGTCCCCTCCAGATTGGACTACTGCAATGCGCTCTACGTGGGGCTGCCCTTGAAAACGGCTCGGAAGTTCCAACTGGTCCAACGAGCAGCGCCAGGATGTTAACTGGGGCCCCTTACAGAGAGAGGTCAACCCTCCTGTTCAAGGAGCTCCACTGGCTGCCGTTTATTTTCCGAGCCCAATTTAAGGTGCAGGTGCTTACCTACAAAGCCCTGAACGGTTTGGGACCATCCTACCTGCGTGACCGCATCTCCATTTATGAACCCACGCGTTCACTTCGGTCATCTGGAGAGGCCCTGCTCGTGATCCCGCCTGCGTCGCAAGCGCGCTTGGTGGGGACACGAGACAGGGCCTTTTCCGTGGTGGCCCCCCGACTCTGGAACACCCTCCCCAAAGATCTTAGACAGGCCCCTACATTGGCAGTCTTCAGAAAGAACTTGAAGACCTGGCTGTTCCGATGTGCCTTCCCAGATTAGGAAATCTCCAATACCAAGTCCCATAAGCACTTTACTAGAACTAAGATTGCTGCACACCGCACACTGCACTTGCCCTATAATGCCTTAGATACCACCTGTCACATCAGCACTTTTAATCCTGTACCCATTACTCTGGCCCGGCCCAGTTTATTTTATTGTGTTTTAGTGTATTGTTATTGCCTGTTGCTTATTATGCTTTATTGTTTTAATTTGCTTAGGTTTTGTATTGTTATATTGTGTATTGAGGCCTTGGCCTTTGTAAGCTGCATCGAGTCCTTCAGGAGATGCTAGCGGGGTACAAATAAAGTTTAATAATAATAATAAAAAAAGGTAAGCAAGGTCAAAAATGGAGAGAAGATTGGTGTTTCGCTAATAGATTATTCCAAATGCATAACTAGCTCTTGTAAAAAGAAACTTGTTTTGAATGTGCTATGCAAAATCATGAACTCTAATTTACTATTTGATGAAGCAGGGATAACAGATTTCTTAAGAGAGCAACTCAACCTTGAATGTTTCTTCTTCTTCTTTATATACAGGATTCTGCTTAGCTAAGCAGGCCAGGAATTCAGCTGCAACCAGTGGCTTCTTATTCAGTTGCATCAGGCGTCGTTCAGTTAGGACAGCTTGAACCGCATTGAGGAGCTGCCCTTGGGTATAACCATCGGACACCTGGGCCAGGCAACTGATATTCAGTTGTTTGGAGATAACCCCACTGTTCTGTTGAATGAAGTATTTCCATAGAACTATCCAGTGCCAGCAAATAAAAACACAGTTATGAGTTTATTACTGAATGAACTGTATGTTCAGAAAACTAACAATATTAACTATGCCAAAGACAGATTGCAGTAGTAGGAATTAAGAGCAAAGTTTCCGAGGACTATGTGGAAAGGATCTTTTTGTAGACACAGGAAATGGCACTTGGAAGGTAAAGGTCAGGTAAGCAGGAAGTCGAAATTTGCTATCTCTTAGCCAGAATAAAGGCTGCATCTGAGCTACTCTAATTGACCTGCCAGCCAATGAGCTTAAAGCAAGTTCAAACTGATTGACCGGCAATTCCCACCTCCCCACAAGGCGCAAATGCCCTTGTGAGGAAGCTGTCACTGCCATGCCAAGGAAACCCACTCCACCATGCACCTGCATGCTGCGCTAACATGGGCAACTTCCGCCCCAACCCACAAACCCTTTGCACAATGAATTGTGCGCCCCCCTTTTCATATATAGGAGACTGGTGTAGAGGAAATGGATTACGAATATCACTCCTGCATTTCTTTGTGTTGCAGTGCATGCCATCCTGGAGTGGCTTTTAAGGAACTGGGCAAGGACTGCACATGGAGAGGTGGAGTGCATAATCTAGTTTGCGAATAATCCACTCCAAAAGTCATAGAATCATAGAATCAGAGAATCAAAGAGTTGGAAGAGACCTCATGGGCCATCCAGTCCAACCCCCTGCCAAGAAGCAGGAATATTGCATTCAAATCACCCCTGACAGATGGCCATCCAGCCTCTGTTTAAAAGCTTCCAAAGAAGGAGCCTCCACCACACTCCGGGGCAGAGAGTTCCACTGCTGAACGGCTCTCACAGTCAGGAAGTTCTTCCTAATGTTCAGATGGAATCTCCTCTCTTGTAGTTTGAAGCCATTGTTCCGCGTCCTAGTCTCCAAGGAAGCAGAAAACTCTCTAGATTCTGGACAGTATCTTTACCATTCACAAAATTACCAGTCCTGTAATAGACTATTAATCACTCCACCTATATAAATATGTTCACAAGATTGTCATCTGCAGTATACTAACATGCCAGATATGTACATTTTTGGGGCTGCATCACAATTCTTTAATGATGAAAGTAACAAACTGTAGTTTTCAAAACTTTGAGATACATTTGCCAAAATTAGATTTACACAAGCAAAGCTTTCAATAACTTATTTTCATATCCATACCAAATCGTGAGGCATAGTCTGGCCTTGGAACCAGAATTATTTTCTTGTAAACTCTGCATAAAGGTCTGAGGTCTGCGTCAAAAGGTCGTTTAGTAGTTCCCATGATCAGTACTCTGTCTTCCATTTTTAAAGTTTTCAAACGTTTGGCAAGTTGCTTTTTCAGGCGTTTAGGTTGTATCTTCCAGATCAAATACAAATAAAAGTGTGATAAAAGAAAGAGAAGATATATAAACTTGAGATTGTATGTTGTCTGGAAACCTGCACTCTAAAGAGAAGCTTGCAGGACGTTATCTTGGTATAGATTTGGTGGATAAATTGACATAAATAGAAAGTTTGGCATAATGGAGCTCTGCATTGAGCCACTAACTTACGAATGTTCCTTCACCTTATTATCAGAAGTAAGTTTGATCTAGAAGGAATAACAATAACTAAAGAACAAGATATTAACTAGATATTAATACATTAACACACTGTTTAATATAATACACACACATCTCATATAGCAATTATTTCCCTGAAATACATGCAAGCTGAAACCACATTTTTACATCATACTTTCTATGTAGTTTGGCCCTAATCCTGTATAGTTCGGCCATAATATAAAAATCGCTATTCATAATAGACGTCCTCCTAAGAGATCCAAATCCGGTTCATTCTGAGGACTAAACAGTATATAGAACTTGTCAAATACTTACAATGATCTCACTTATTTTTAAAAAACCATTTAAGCCACATTTCATGGCCACACTCTTTTCAAGACATCTGTCTATATAAACTGGACACATTACCCCGGATCAGGTATATGAGGCTTCATAGCAAGTCTGTGGCTACTGCTATAAGGTACATATTAATGCACCTTGCCCTATAATTCTATATAAGTGGTAAGTTCATATTTCTAACTCAATAAGGACACGATTCAGTCAATGGCTTTATTGATATCAATGATGGAAATTTAATTGTATCTTAAACTTCAACTTTGAAATATATGAAATGTAAAAGGCTTAATTTTGGTTAGATTACATTCTAGGGACCTGTAAAGGTTTATACATAAATGTTACCAATACAGCTTGAGTTTACTTAAATGGAAATGGTGTCAATATTTGAATTTATCTTTGCTACTAAACATCTAAGGACACATCTTCTGTAGCATGAATTTCTGCTTTTTAAATGTATATAATCTTTCTGAGCAAATATAAACATTACTTTATGTGGTAGTATCAGTGTGTCAAACAAAGATGAGCCAGCAGAGGGCAACAGTCACTTGACATGAAGTTTCAATATCTCTATGAGGTTTTAAAAAATGATTAATATCTATTTGCAAATATTAAACCTAGAGGCAGAAAAAATAAGACTGTTCCAAAAAGCATTTCTTAAATGTAGAACAAAAAGCATTTATACTGTGCAGGATTGTAATTCACTTTCAGATTATATTGATAGGTTGCTGCTTGGCAAATTTGCTGACAAAGGGAGATGCCACATAATGATGTTTGGAAATAAGATCCATCTGAAATCTGACAAAACTATATGTGTTCAGTGAAACCCATGGGTAATGACCATTTTACATGTTCTTTGGGTAATGACCATTTTACATGTCAGTGATTTTAAAAAGTAAGTCAGATTTCTACATACAGAAACAAAATAGAGGATTTGGTGGTTCCATGTTTTTCCAAAGATCCACAGAGGCTGCAACTTTGCCTTTACCTTCTTCTTTGCCTTATAAACTGATATGGCTTTATCATTCCCATTATGCCCAGTGAAGAGGTAGGTGTTTGTCGTACTTCTTTAACGTATTTCTTCAACAAAGATGCATAGGTCTAATAAAATACATGATGTATTTTGAATTTTTCCTCCTCCTTTCTGGTCATGTGGGCATCTCTGCTAATATCAGGATGGGGTACCTGTGACGGCTAGGAGCTATTATGGAGCTCCCGTTCCTTGAGAAGCCAGATCTGGATATGGTGGTAGTTCAACAGTTCCCAATCTGAGGGTTGCTGGGCCATTTTCCGGGGGGCATGAAGGCATCTCGGTTGGTCCTGCCTCCTCTGCCTCTCCAAAATGGCTGCCGGCCCCTGTGCCAACCAAACAGCCAAGTGCTCCTGGTCAGCTCCTCCTCCTCCTCTTCCCACAGGGCTGCAGGAAGTCAGAAGGAGGAGTTTGGAGGCAAAGGCACGTGAGGAAGAAGGCACACCATTTTTTGGAAGCCTTCCACTTGATCTTCGCCCATTCTGAGCTCGGCAGGGGCCTGGCCATCTAGGGACCTTCACCGCTTGGCCCTCAACCTGTTGAGCTCAGAAGGGGCGGAGGTCAAGCAGAAGGCGCTTTGCATGGCCTGACCATCCAGGGAGCCTTTGCTGCTTGGCCCTCACTCCCTGCCGAGCTCAAAAGGGTCAAGGGGTCTAGCAGAAGGCTCCCTGCATGGCCTGGCTGTCCGGGGAGGCTTTGCTGCTCGGCCCTCACCCTCTGTTGAGCTCAGAAGAGGCGGGAGGTCGAGCAGAAGGCTCCCTGCATGGCCTAGCCATCTGGGGAGCCTTCACCGCTCAGCCCTCACCTCCTGCTGAGCTCAGAAGGAGCAGGGGTCAAGTGGAAGGCTCCCGGCACAACCTGGCCCTCCGGGGAGCCTTCCCCGCTTGGCCCTGCCCCCCTGCTGAGTTCAGAAGGGATGGGGTTGAGCAGAGAGCTCCCCAAATGGCCTGGCCATCCGGGGAGCCTTCGCCATTCAGGCCACGCCCCTTGCCAAGCTCAGAAGTCCAGGGGGCCAATGCGGTCTTGTCTTGGCTGAACTCTGTTTAACTGCCTCCACAGATACAAGATGGTGGATGAAGCCCTGGATTAACAGATATGGCCACAGATCAAGGGTTGCCAAACTAAGGACTGGTTGCGTTCCTCCAAGGGCATTTGCCTGCCAGAACCCTAAACTTTAGACTTTGAGTCACCCTAAGTCTCAACAAATTTGAAAGCACACAAGAACAGATACAGACAGATATAGATGTCTTCTCAACTTCATCTTCACATTTATCAGTTAGAACAGGGGTCCCTAAACTAAGGAATGTGGTCCAGATGCAGCCCTCCATGCTAATTTATCCAGCCCCCACCCTGAACGTTAGACTTAAGGTTGCCCAAAGTCTGAAATGACTTGAAGGCACACAACAATGACCATCATAATTAACTTGACTATCTCATCAGCCAAAAGCAGGCTCACACTTCCCATTGAAATATTGATAAGTTTAAATTGGTTTAAATTGTTCTTCATTTTAAATACTGTATTGTTCTTTCATTTTTTGTCCTAAAAATAAGATATGTGCAGTGTGCTATAGTTTGTCTGCCCCCCCCCCCCCCCCCGCAACAGTCTGAGAGACCGTGAACCAGCCCTCTGCTTAAAGGCAGAGGACCCCTGCCATAGATATTGGATTTACCTCTTTTTCTGCTTTAGGCACCTTTTTGTAGAATGTTTTCTCTGTGTCGCCAATCCATATGACTGAAGGTTGTAGTTGTTTAGCTACCTAAATGGTAAAATGGAAAGGAAGACATTTAAAGATTATAGTTCTCTATTTCAAGCAATACAATGCAGATAGGACCAGCTTCATCAATAAGACCAAGGAGATCATCATGGATTATAGGAAAAACAGACCAGAAATTCAGCCCTTGGTCATAAATCGGGACCAAGTGAAGCAGGTGGCCAGTTTTAAGTTCCTGGGTGTCACTGTGAAGGAGGATCTGACCTGTGGCACCCAGTGTTGGTTAAGAGGGCCCAGCAGAAACTGTACTAACTGACTCCTAAGGAACCGTCAACTGAATGAAAAACTGATGGAGACTTTCTATCCCTGTACTATAGAAAGTGTCCTAACCTACTGCATTTGTGCATGCTTTGGTAACCGCACAGTGGCAGATAGAAAGGTGCTCCAAAGAGTCATCTCTTCTGTACAGAGAATCAGTGGTTGCCCTCTCTCCTCTTTGGAAGAACTTTATAGATCCCACAGCCTTAAAAAAGCTCAGAGCATTCTTGGGGATCCTTCTCACCTGGCATATTCTTTTTTTGAATTACTGTTATCTGGCAGGTGGTACATGGTGACAAAAACAAGGAGAAACAGACTGAATTGTAGCTTTTATCCTAGAGCTGTGGCTATGTTGAACTCCATGGTTTTGCACTGATGTGGCATTGGGGGCTGTGTGGTGGTGGGAGGGGGTGGAGGGATGAATGTGTTGTTTTGTGGTGTGTCTGTGGGGGGGAGGGAGGGGCATGTAATTTCATTGTGAAATACCACAATGACAAATAAAGCTATTCTATTCTATTCTTCCACATTAATTTCAATAGAGAATGGGCTCAGTTGCTTCCACATTTTTGATCATAGAATCATAGAATCAAAGAGTTGGAAGAGACCTCATGGGCCATCCAGTCCAACCCCCTGCCAAGAAGCAGGAATGATTGCATTCAAATCACCCCTGACAGATGGCCATCCAGCCTCTGTTTAAAAGCTTCCAAAGAAGGAGCCTCCACACACTCCGGGGCAGAGAGTTCCACTGCTGAACGGCTCTCACAGTCAGGAAGTTCTTCCTCATGTTCAGATGGAATCTCCTCTCTTGTAGTTTGAAGCCATTGTTCCGCGTCCTAGTCTCCAAGGAAGCAGAAAACAAGCTTGCTCCCTCCTCCCTGTGGCTTCCTCTCACATATTTATACATGGCTATCATATCTCCTCTCAGCCTTCTCTTCTTCAGGCGAAACATGCCCAGCTCCTTAAGCCGCTCCTCATAGGGCTTGTTCTCCAGACCCTTGATCATTTTAGTCGCCCTCCTCTGGACACATTCCAGCTTGTCAATATCTCTCTTGAATTGTGGTGCCCAGAATTGGACACAATATTCCAGGTGTTCTAACCAAAGCAGAATAGAGGGGTAGCATGACTTCCCTAGATCTAGACACTATGCTCCTATTGATGCAGGCCAAAATCCCATTGGCTTTTTTTGCCGCCACATCACATTGTTGGCTCATGTTTAACTTGTTGTCCACAAGGACTTCAAGATCTTTTTCACACGTACTGCTCTCGAGCCAGGCATTGTCCCCCATTCTGTATCTTTGCATTTCGTTTTTCCTGCCAAAGTGGAGTATCTTGCATTTGTCACTGTTGAACTTCATTTTGTTAGTTTTGGCCCATCTCTCTAATCTGTCAAGATCGTTTTGAATCCTGCTCCTGTCCTCTGGAGTATTGGCTATCCCTCCCAATTTGGTGTCGTCTGCAAACTTGATGATCCTGCCTTCTAGCCCTTCATCTAAGTCATTAATAAAGATGTTGAACAGGACCGGGCCCAGGACGGAACCCTGCGGCACTCCACTTGTCACTTCTTTCCAGGATGAAGAGGAAGCATTGGGGAGCACCCTCTGGGTTCGTCCATTTAACCAATTACAGATCCACCTCACCGTAGTTTTGCCTAGCCCACATTGGACTAGTTTCCTTGCCAGAAGGTCATGGGGGACCTTGTCGAAGGCCTTACTGAAATCCAGGTACGCTACATCCACGGCATTCCCTCATCTACCCAGCTTGTAACTCTATCAAAAAAAGAGATCAGATTAGTCTGGCATGACTTGTTTTTGATAAATCCATGTTGACTATTAGCGATGACCGCATTTGTTTCTAAGTGTTTGCAGACCACTTCCTTAACAATCTTTTCCAGAATCTTGCCTGGTATCGACGTGAGGCTGACCGGACGGTAGTTGTTTGGGTCATCCTTTTTTCCCTTCTTGAAGATTGGGACCACATTGGCCCTCCAATCTGCTGGAACTTCTCCCGTTCACCAAGAACTCTCAAAGATGATTGCCAATGATATTGATGAAGTAGTTCCAGCTCTGATATTAATGCAAAAACCCTCAAACTTAATAGATATTAAGAATGATATGTTTCAAGCAAGAATATTAGAATGGAATTATGGTGTCTTAAATGGGAGACATTTATTGTGGCTTAAAATCTCATTTAAAATCTATCACTGCAGCGTTACCTTTTTGAAATAATCAGCTATTTCATTATTTAAATATGGCAACACATTTTAAACCTTTTAAATTGGAAGACTAAATTACACAGGTAATATTTTGGTTACTATGTCACTTATATTACAATAATGAAGATGATATTGCAAAATACTTAAAAACTAGTTGGAATAAATAGTGATACACCACATTTACTTGAGTCTAATGCATACCTTTTTTTGTGCTAAATTACATTGCCAAAATTGAGGTAAATTTGATGGGGTTTTTTTGTTGGTTTTTTTGTCATGTCAGGAGCGACCTGAGAAACTGCAAGTTGCTTCTGGTGTGAGAGAACTGGCTGTCTGCAAGGACGTTGCCCAGGGGATGCCTGGATGATTTGATGTTTTATCATCCTTGTGGGAGGCTTCTCTCATGTCATACAGGAACCTCACAGAAAACCTAACCTCATCAACACTATTCACATATTACAAAGATCCTAGTAGACCTGTCAAAAAATAAAGCAAAATTCTCGAGCACTACCTTGTGCCAGCTACAAGAACTGTGTAAGATATCCAGAAAGCTGCTGAGATGTGATGGTTATGAGGTTGAACAACATATCAGAATAATCTGCTTAGTCTCATTTTGGAGAGAGTATAAAATTTCATACAGAATTGTGTTGTCAAAGGCTTTCCTGGCCAGAGTCACTGGGTTGCTGTGAAGCTTAATAACAAATACATTAATTTTAATGGATCTCGGCTATATCCACAATGTACAAGGCCCCAAGAGGTACATTTTTAAATTCATAATAGTAATTGGCTATTTATGTTACCTGTTCTGTACATATGGAAAACAACACTATAATAGGTTGCTGTGAGTTTTTCAGGCTGTATGGCCATGTTCCAGACCTCTGAAGATGCTGGCTACAGATATAGGCGAAACTTCAGGAAAGAATGCTACTGGAACATGGTTTCTATGAAGACCTATTATGATAATTGACCAGCAGCATCTGCAGGACATTCAGCAGAAAAGGCCCTTCTGGCTTCCTATTGACTCCTATTCCATAATATATGCAAACAAAATTTATTGGATAGGAAAACAAGGCTGCCTGAAACTGCTCTGTAATAATGTATTGTCGAAGGCTTTCATGGCTGGAATCACTAGGTTCTTGTGGGTTTTTTCGGGCTATAGGGCCATGTTCTGGAGGCATTTCTCCTGACGTTTCGCCTGCATCTATGGCAAGCATCCTCAGAGGTAGTCTGAGGATGCTTGCCATAGATGCAGGCGAAACGTCAGGAGAAATGCCTCCAGAACATGGCCCTATTGCTCTGTAATAATTTTCAAATATGAAAAATGTTGGCTTCATAACTGCAGTTGTTGGATCAGCAAAATAAGCTGTTGCTGTCAGGATAAAAAAAAATCAATTATACCTTTTCCTATTTTTGTGCTTTTTATAAGATGCAGCAGGAGAAAGAAATACATATTGTTCCATGCTAAAAGAATTATTGACACTATATAATTAATGTAATATAAATCTAATAGAAATAAATGTTAATCTGAAACCATGGCAATTTCAAGTTAGAGAAACAAGCAGTTTTCCTACATTGGGATGTTGAAAGTTGGGAAAAGCATGCAAATAGGAACAAGAATTACTTTTGGAAGATCAGATTTTCCTTGATGTTTTAAGTGGTAGAAAAATGAGCATATTGCTTACAGAACTCAACAGTATTGTTGTGAAAGGGGAAGAACCAAGAGAATTCTACATTTTTAGCCATGCGTAATAAATTCACTAATTCATCTCCCAATTTATATTATTAATACTGCTAGCTTTAATCAATTGAAAATCATGTATTTTAAAAATAGATGGCCTTTGAAAGTCCTCTATTTCCTTTTCTTCCTGCAACCATTTTTTCTTCTTTAGTAAATTAAATTTCTTCTTATGGTTGAAAAAGTAAATGTGATCTTCTTTACAGGGAAGCTTCTGCTGCATAATAATTATTGTTAAACAGACCCTACAATATTTCAGTCTTCTTTTTGAGTCTTTTCCTTTTCTTTTAGTGATCATGTCAACTGGGTTCTTAAATTAGATTAGCTGTGGGAAAATATAGTTACACAAATACAAAATATGTAGTGATCCTACATTTTATTAACTCTGTGATAGGTGATCTGTATGAATGTTCTTTGCTTTCAAGTTCACAAAATGAAAGACTTCCCTATACATAAAACAGTGTTATTCTGTGAAGTAGGTTGTCTTGACCCAGTCAATATGCTGATATTTTGCAATTCGTTTTGAACCAGATGAGACACCCATAATCCACCAGGATTTAATTGAAATTGTTGGCACATATGTGGCAGACTGTGTGTTCCGATGAAAGTACTTCATTTGAACTATCCATGTAGTTTGAATCGATGGATAATTAAATGGACTATGCAATTAATTTATAATTGGAATTTGAGTAGCAGTGCTAAACACTTCATTTTGTTGAAGTCACCAGCAGATGGCTCCTTAACCTTTCTAATATTGCCTTCAGTTAAGATAGTACTGGTTTT